TATTTGCTTTTATCTCCTCATTATTTATAGATTTTCCTGAATCTGTAAACAAACAAACAAACAAACCCTTTTAAACCAATTTGGAAATTTTTGAGCCATTATTGATTCAAAATTTTTTTCTGTTTACTTCCTCTTTTTTCTTTCTGAGATTTCAAGTACACATATATTAAAGTTGTTAGTATTGTTTTGCAAGTTCCTAAGACTCTGTTATTTTCTTAAATTTTTTTTCTTTTTATTCTTCAGATTAGATACTGACTTTCTTCCATCATTTCTAATTGGTTGTTAATCTTTGTAGTGATTTTTTTAAAAAATAGTTTTAGTTGTAGATGGACACAATACTTTGTTTATTTAGTTTTTTTTTTTTATGTGGGTCCGGGAATGGAATCCAGTACCTCACATATGCTAGGCAAGCACTCTACCACTGAGCTACAACTCCAGCCCCTGTTGTGATTTTTTAAAAATCCAGATAGTGTGATTTTTAATTCTAGTTTCCTTCTTTTAATACATTCTACTTTTTTTCCTGTGATTTTTCTATTTAATCATTCATTTATGGGCTTATTATATTTTATATTATTGAGAATAGTTAAGATAGCTGCCTTAAAGTTATTTTTTAAAAATTTCCTTTAGTTATAGTTGAATACAATACCTTTATTATATTTATTTATTTTTATATGCTGCTGAGAATCAAACCCAGTGCTTCATACGTGTGAGGCAAGTGCTCTGCTACTAAGCCACAATCCCAGCTCAAAATTCTTTATTTTTTTAGTTGTAGTTGGACACAATACCTTTATTCCATTTATTTACTTTTATATGGTGCTAAGGAACGAACACAAGGCCTCCCGCTCATGCTAGGCAAGCGATCTACTGCTGAGCCACAATCCCAGATAAATTCTTTTTTTAAAAAATAATATTATTTTTAGCACAATATTTTTGAGACTTCTTTTTTTTCAAAAATATTTTTTAGTTGTCAATGGATTATTTTATTTATTTATTTATTTATTTATTTATTTATTTATTTATTTATTTATTTATATGTGCCACTGAGGATCGAACATAGGGCCTCATGCATGCCAGGCAAGCACTCTACCATTGAGCCACAACTCTAACCCCTGTCTTAAAATTCTTATATGTTGAATCCAATATCTGGGTCTTCTTGGGGTCAATCTCATTGATTAAGCATGGGCCACCTTTCCTATTTTTTCTTATGTCTATTAACTTTGGATAGTGACCTGTTCATTGTGTATAATATGTTCTAGAGACTCTGGGTAGTTAAAATCCTAGGAGTCTGGATTTTTATTTTCATTTTTTGGTCTCACTTCCCCATTAACCTGACTGGACTCAAATTAAAAATTCAATATCTAATGAGAAGCAACAGAAATCTGTTCATTTCTCTTTGCCTTAGTTGGGCTATTTTTATGAATTTTTAATTTTTGAAAATGATACTGGGTTCCTGATATTATTGCTTACTTTTAAAATTATTATCGCTTACTTCTTTTTATCCATTTATGTGCTTAATTAGATGTATTCTTTTTTTGTGTGTACAAATACTTTGTTCCTTCCATCTACTCCATTTAGCACCATTGTAACTTTGCCAACTCTAGATATCAGGCCAGGATTATGTGAATGTCAATTTCTGTGCTAAAAATGTGGAGGGTTGTTGACCTAAGGCAAAGTATGGGATAGGCAAGAACAGAACCTGAACTTTCCTGAAAACTATCTTCTCACTGCCTGCCTTTTTTGCTATCATCAATTCTTCTCAACTTTCTTACCCCAGTACATATACCTACTTAAACAACCTTGAGACTAACCAAAGATATCTTTTAGTTATTTTTGTTCATTCATAAAATCCATTTTTTTCTCTCACTTCTATTATTTTTCTAGGTTCCTTTTCAAAGACATTTAATAAACTTATGCTAGTTTACCATCTCATCTGTCAGGAGTAAAGTACACTCCAATCTTCTTTCTCTACTAAGCACTATCTCTGTTATCAAGAAATAGCTAGAAAATATATTTAGAAATGGGAGATCAGGAGACATTAAGAACAGCATCTCAATTCCAAGGAAACTTTAACAGAAATAAAAATTTTCGGATTCTGGCTGGGGATGTGGCTCAAGTGGTAGCGCGCTCACCTGGCATGTGCGGGGCACTGGGTTCGATCCTCAACACCACAGAAAAATAAAATAAAGATGTTGTGTTCACCGAAAACTAAAAAATAAATTTAAAAAAATAAATAAATAAATAAAAATTTTCGGATTCTCTAAAATTCAGCAAGCGATAAATGAAAGAAAGAAATCAGTATCAACCTAGAGATCCTTCAGACATGTGTTTAATGAAGAATTAACAAGGGTTTTTATTGTTGAATACAAACATTAGCCAAAAAAAAAAAATTAAAAAGGAAGAATTACTAAATGATCATTGTTTCATTTAGGCAATGATTGATTAAGTAATGGCTCATCTAAACTTGGAGTACATGAAAGGCTAAAATGAATTAGGGAGATCTCTCCACATGCTGACTTGGAAGAATTTGCAAGGAAAATCGTTAAGTGGAAAGAGGTTGAAGAGTCATTTGTTTAATATGATATTGCTTATGTAAAAATAAAGTAGCATTCATTAAATAAAGCTATAATTTCTATATATGCAGGCATATTTATGTATTTGCATAGAGAAAGAATGGGAAACAAGCATACAGGGCATATTGACATATCTCTTAGAAGAGACATAGAATAGGCAGAGTGGTGAAATGGGACTTTCCCTTCATTTGTATCATTTCATCTTCTTGTAGTGAAAATGTCAGTTTCTTATTTAATTTAAAAAGTCAGTGAAGGAAACATAGATTCTGAATATAACATTCACTAAGTATCTTCTCCTTTACAGAAAGAAAGAAAGTGTTTAAAGATGTACTTTCCTCTTTGAATATGGATAGAAGCAGAAAACTTCTGCCAGATTTGGTTAAACAGTTCTCCTTGGATCATGGATGTAGGTGGACACCTGAGACTCCAGCAGACTTATCCTGGAATTTCCTGATGAAAGTTCAAGCACTGGATGTGACAGCCAGAGACTCAATCCTCAGGCGCAGGGTTCTGGATGAAGACAGCAAAGAGGAATTGATGACTGCTCTGGAAAAGTTGGAAATTCGAGACATACAAACCATTCATCCCCTCGATGTGCTTTGTGCCTCCATGCTGTGTTCAGACAGCTCTTTGCAACGAGAAGTCATGTCAAACATGTATCGATGCCAGTTTGCTCTTCCCCTGCTGCTGCCAGACTCAGAAAACAACAAAAGCATCTTAATGCTGAGGGCCATGGAGGACATTGTGAAGAAGCGGTCAACACAGTCCTCAGGAGGGCCCACGGGGGATTCAGAAGAGTTTCTGAGTCTCATGAAGATGCCTGTCATCTCTTTTGTACGTCTAGGGCACTGTAGTTTTTCCAAGTCCAGAATCCTCAATGCACTGCTCAGCCCTGACCGACTGAAATCACACAAAATCTTTCTTCATCACGATTTTTCTGTTCCGATGCTTCCTAGGCAAATATCTGATGGCCTTGTTGAGATAGCATGGTGTTTTCCTGACAGTGATGAAAGCCCGGGTATTTTCCAAAAGCCTGTTGCTGTGGCCAACCTTCGTGGAGACCTAGAAAGCTTTTGGACACAGTTTGGGCTCTTGGTGGAAGTTTCCTCAGCTATTTTTTTTTTCGCTGACTGCTTAGGTGAGAAGGAATGGGACTTGCTGTTGTTTTTAGGACAAGGTACCATTCAAAGATGCTACTTTGTACTCAGTCCCCAAGCCAGGGTGAGTGAAGAGGCTCAGATTTTCCAGAGGACCTTGAAACTGAAACCATCACAGCTACTGTTTTGGGAAGAGGAAGAAGCTGGGGACAGAGGGAAGAACATGGAAGGCCTTTCCACTGCCCTTCAGGAAGTGATGTCCTCTTCACTCAGATGTGTGTCTTTGAAGGATATGGCCTCCCTGGCCAGGGAGTTGGGGATTCAGGTAGACCAAGACTTTGAGAATGCTCAAGGGATTCAGAATTTCCCTAATGTAAACAGGGCTGGAACAGCTGAAGGTGAGGGACAACAAAGATATAGTCAACTAACAAATTCATCTGAAGGCCAAGCTTTGAGACCTACGAGAGATCCTGGGATTGCAGGTGAAGTCAGCCAAAATTTTCAGAATTTTCACCACTCTCCAGTATCCAAGTCTCATCTAGAAAATGCCTGGCCTTCACCAAACAGAATTGGAGGTAACTTTGACCAGGTTTCCTTGGAGTCTCCCTGGGTTATGGGCTCCCACTTAGGGTCAGAACAGAGATCTAAATGGTTCTGTGCTTCGCCTTTTTGGAATTCAAGGTCCCATAAAAAAGGTAAAGATTTTGGTACCCAATATTCCCAAGCCCAGAGATATTATTCAGGTGAAAAATTCACAAAATTTTCAAGCACCTCTTGGGACTATCACTTGAATCAAACATTTGGAAGACCCCCAAGACCCAGTTCTAAGCATGTGTGGGCCTGTCCTGAGAGATCACAAAGAATGGGAGTTCTTGCAAAGTTTGGGGCAGTGGTCTCCCTGGTAGGTCACCTACGTTCTATAGGTTCACAGGTAGCAGGACCAGTAGGGAAACCACAGCCCAAGCAAGCCCTGGCCCCAGGAACAAAAATTACTCAAGTAACTGGAAAGTTTATTAGAACAGCATCCCATAGTAAAGATCTTCACCCTCAGTGCTTTCAGCCAACAGGAAACACACAAAAACTAGTAAGACCTGCTTCTCAGCAAGGAAACAAGCTGATGGCTCAGGTTAGGCCTTCAGATTCAGTTTTCCAAAAAGGATCTCATTCCACATCTAAGAGCAAATTTTTACCCAGCTCTCAGTTCATATCCCATCAGCCTAAGCCATTCCAGGTGAAGCATTTCCAGCCCAAATCCTCTCAACCTGGGTCTTCTCAAGCAAAATCTTCTCAGACAAAAGCCCCTCAGCCCCAGCCCTCCCAAGCTAAGCCTTCTCAGCCTAGACCCATTCAACCTAAATCATCCCAGACCCATGCTTCACAGACCAGAGCATATCAACCAAGAGCAGGGCCCAAACGGGTAGGGAAACGTTAAATAGTGTACTCCAGAGACCTACAGGTTGTGTTCTTTATCTAGGTCATTCCTATCATATAGTAACCAGAAGAAGAAATTTAGTCAAAGTTTAAGACTATTGTCATTAGTGTGACATAATCAAGATAGGCAAAGTCTAATTGGTTGTCATTAAAATATCTGTAAGAGTGGTGTCCCTAAGCAAGAGGAAAAATATGAAAATAGTTAAGAATAGTATCAAACAGTAAATAAATAAGTTGAATACAACCTTGAGCATTAAGTAATGTATAACTTGAATCCAATGGGGTCTGTGAGACAGACTCACTAGAAGGAGAATGGGATTAGAGACTAATTGTGCTATGATCACAAAGTAGGGTTCAGTTGCCTCAATGTGGCAAGAAAAATTGCCCTAGATGTTAACCGCTCCAGAAGTGCCTTGGTCAGAAGTTTCTGATGCTATATCAGCCACTGAGGTGATAACCCTTCTTAATTGGATAGTTAAATCACCTTGCTGATAATGGCCTCAATTTGCTTGGTTGATAAAACTTTTTTTTTGACATTTATAGATAGAAATAATGAACTAACAACCAATAAAATTGATTATCTTATTAACTGTATGAGTGAGTTATGTATATTTCATATTTTAAATATTTGTAACAGTTAAGAATATTTGGCTTATTGTAGGATCTGACATATTACTAGTCTCCAATTAAAAATGTGCCTTTGAATTTTTAGAGTTAAAGTTAAATTGGAAAAATTAAGATAAACTTAAAAATTATAAAAAGTATTGAAATGCTTAAGAGAACTTAAGATTCATATAATTTTTATTTTTTGTTAGATTCATATTATTCTGAACATTTCAGTAAGTTATATTACTTAACAGTATTAAATAAAAGAATATATGAAAATTTCCAGTTGTGGTGGCCATGCATGTAACTGCAGTGACTCAAGAGGCTAAGGCAGGAGGATCACAAGTTCAAGGATAGCCTCAGCAATTCAGTAAGACTCTGTGTCAAAATAAAAGATAAAAAGGGCTAGGGATGTGGTTCAGTGGTAAAGTGCGCCTAGGTTCAATTCCCAGTACAAAAAGAAAGAAAGAAAGAAAAAAGATTAAATTTAAAAATATTTATGTGAACCTTAAATAAGTTTTAAAAGACACCAAATATTAATAAAAGTCCACTTTAAAAGTAAATATTAAAATTCATCCAGATTTAGAAATATAATAGTAAGATTTTTACATTGAATTTAAAAGCTTCAGTTTTTAAATTATAACTTTAATAAAATTAATATTAATTTTAAATACTAAAATAACTCCAAGTAGTCTTTTTAGGTTGAAAGACAAGGACACCAAAAAAAAAAAAAAGTCATATTGACAAATGGACGAGAACTAATCTTTGAAAAGGAATAATCCACACGAATATTCTCATAATAGGTATCCTTTGTTTGTTTTCATATGTATTGAAGAATTAAAATTAAGTATCTATAGGGTGTTTAGTCTGTCTGATGGTTATTGTAAGGATGAAGAAAGAGAAGACAATTCATTTGAATTTTGTTTTGAATTTTGAATTTTTATTTTTGTCTTTTGGAAGGCAAAAAAAGCATGATAACTAGTTCTGGTTTATAATTACAAAATCTTCTAAATAAATGTGAAGTTCCTCCACTTAAAGTAATTTTTTTTTTAGAGAGAGAGAGTGAGAGAGAGAGTTTTTTAATATTTATTTTCCATTTCTCGGTGGATACAACATCATTGTTTGTATGTGGTGCTGAGGATCGAACCCGGGTCGCACACATGCCAGGCGAGCGCGCTACCGCTTGAGCCACATCCCCAGCCCCTTAAAGTAATTTTTTTTGTTGAGACTTTTGAAACCAGCAATAGTTGTGATTTTTAAAACCCTTCTTCTGAATCCTTCTTCAAGATTAGAGCCTGCTGGGCTCTTATAAGGAATACATTTGGTACCAGCCTATCTTAGCAATACATATGTGGTATATTCAAATTGGACAATTTGAAATGACTTAATAAATGAACTTCAAAGGACTGAATAAAATGTTAAAAAGAGAGAAAGCAAATATACAAAGGAGAGGGTGTGCTTTGAATTCATTAAAAGCAGGGCACCTTTGCCTTCCCAAGGTCTCAAAGCAGGGAGGAGGTAGTGCTTTTTCCAATCAGAAGACCTGTGTGGAAAGGTCCTGGTTTTGGTGGATTGAGGTATACAGCAGGTGGCAGTGACCCACAGCGCAGTGGGTGTACCAGGAGTAATCACCGCTGATTTTCTGCTAGTGCATCCACTTGGCCAAACCCAACTAGAAGCCAAGGACAAGAGAACTTACCCAGGCAGTTCATATCAGTAGTCTTTTGAAGCTCAAGTAGGATAGACAGTAGATCTGAAGGAGCAAGCTGAAGATAGCCAGTAGATTCTTCCCTTTCACCACATTCTTCTTTTCTTTCTTCCTTCTGTCACATGTATTTCTTGGGCATCTACTACGTGGAACACATTAGACTAGGAACTGAAAAAGATGTGGACACAGAATGAAAAATCTTTGTTTCAATTCAGTAATCGACTGAATTGAAGAGCACTACTTGAAGTTGCAAAGTTTTGAATTTTCTCCTTATTATAAAACTACAATCTCATTGTGGATAATTTCAAATATCCAGAAATAGACAAAGAATAAAAGAACATTAAAATAATCTATAATCTCATAAGTACATAACTAATAATGTAGTTGCTGATAATACTACTCACTAATAAATTTTTTTGTATTTTTTCTGTTGATATATATTTACAGGCAACACCAATTGCATTTTTGAGTTATATTAGGGTTGATGGGGCAAAGTCCAACAAGTGTTAGGAGCTGCCAGTACAGACAGAATGAAGTACTGGTTTTCCAGATATCGTAGGAAAGTTTCAATTCAGAACATGAAATGAGTTTAAGGGTCTCATTGTATAATACACAAGTCGAATTGTTATAATTAAAAAATGCAAAAACTGAGAATCATTTTTGTGTGTGTTTATACGTATATGCATATATATGTTATTAATATATTGTGAACATTTGTGTTAGTACTTTTTGTTTTATTAGCAGATGCAAAAGTCTACCCATTGAGTTATCACTTCCAGTGACTGAAAATTCTATCTTAAACACCTTAAATCCATTTATATTTTGTACAAGAAAGTAAATATTCTTTTTAACATTAAAAATTATATAATTTATTGAGATGCTTGAAAGGAGTGTATGCCAATGTGATAAAAAGACTGACCACTGAGACAAAGTTATGAATTGGATGAATCAAACTGGTTTCAAAAATATAGGATTTTACCTGCATGTATTGTGACCTTCTGCATTTCCTTATGTTTTAATTTTTTTTACAGTCTCCTTTTGTGATTAAGGTACCTGTCCAATATTTGCCTAATGGGTCTATATAAAAAAGTATTTGTTGAGGAAGATAAACGTGACATTTCAATACTTCAGTCTAATTTAAAGGGTGGTTTTGTGCATTAATTTGCTAACGGTGGTCACTGGTATTTCTTAGGGTAAAGGCTAAGATGCTATAAAAGAGAAGGCAAAAATATAATGGCTTAAGTACTATGGATACTATTTCTCATGTAACAATTCAGTCTGTCTAGGCTGTTGGAGCTGCTCTTTTTAATAGATTAATCAAGAGCTAAGGTCTTCTGTCTTGTTCTTCCATTTCCTTGGGCATTGTCCTTTTCTGCATTATTTGAAGCTAGTCTTTCTTGTTTCCTTGATTCAGTTTACAGAGAGGTGAGAAAAGCCAAAGGCTGTAGTAACCAGCCCAAGTTAAAATTAGAGATGGCTTGGAAATTATACATCTTTCCAATCACATCCAATTGGCTCAAAGTTGGTCATGTGGCCATATATGTAGCTGCAAGGGAGGTTGGGAGATGTAGTCACTGCCTAGGTGACCATGAATTGAGGAAAAAAGGGAGAACAGCATTTTGTCACAGTATCATAGAATAGTAGGAATATCAGAGGCCAAAAGAGGAAGATAAATTCACCAGATAGAAACTCCAGACAAGCATCAAATGTTCATTTCTACCACTTTGGTCATAATTTGTTACTTACTATAGGATATAAATTATTTCAGGGGTGGGGAGTGGTAGTAATTGACTGAATTGAAGAGCACTGTTTGATGTTGCAATGAAGAGAGAATATTAGATTATGTATTTGTTATGGTTTGGATGTGAGATGTCCCTCAAAAGCTCACATATGAGACAATGCAAGAAGATTCAGAGGAGAAATGATTGGATTGTAAGAGTCTTACCCCAACCAGTGAATTAATCCCCTGATAGGGATTAACTGAGTGGTAACTGAAGTGGTAGGGTGTGCTTGGAGGAGGTGGGAATTAGGGGCATAGCTTTGTGGTATATATTTGTATCTGGCAAGTGGAAACTCTCTTCTTTGCTTCCTGATCTTGGTGTAAGCTGCCTCTCTTTCACACTCTCTTCTTTGGTGATGTTCTGCTTCACCTTGAGCCCAGAGGAATGGAGCTGGCCTTCTATGGACTATGACCTCTGAAACCATGAACCCTCAAATAAACTTTTCCCCCTTTACAATTATTCTGGTTGGGTCCTTTAGTCACAGTAGTGAAAAAACTGACTAAAATAGTACTCTTGAATAATAAAGTTGAAATTATGGTTTGGGTATCATCTGCTTGTAATCAACCCTAAAGTACACATAAAGCACATGTAAAGATGATAATTTATATTAGTCTATAAACTAGACTGTCTTCTATAATCCCAGTGTTGATATTCTCACACACTAAGTTTCCTTAAATTCTAAAGCAGTGATTTTAAAATTAGAGGGTCAATGAAAATCCCCTGAGGATGTTATTAAAATTCCATGTATTTGTTTTCATCCCAGAGATTCTGATTCAGTAGGTCTAATCAACCTGCTGCTCAACAGGAATTTCTACTGAGATAAATCTTGGGCCACACCAAAAAATCCAGGTATAGTCTGGACTGTAAACCTGATTTCTGGTGCTTAGAAAGAGCAGATGTTTTCGTGTGGACTAGGAATCCAGTCTGAAATAGTTGATTTTCATCTTTCTCATTGAACTAGTTAATCATCTCTTCCTAGAATACTGGGCACTAAAAGGCTATTATAAGGAGATGATAATTAGATTCAAAAAAAAAACTATTATCCATTTAAGATTTGGGCTTTTCTACCTATAGGTTTCTATATCTAGCACTTCCCATTTTTGTCTGCAAGTTTTGTACCTGATGAATTTGAAATATCTTCTTATATTTTTCAGAATGTGCTTCTTTCTCTTTGCTCCATGGCTAAGACTTGATTTTTTAATGTCCTCTTGCCCAGTGTCATTGGTGTATATACTATCTTTCTTTCACTGTTCAGAGAATTGCTTTGTTAGGGATTAGGGCAGTATAATTTCAGGCTTGGACCCTGATTTGACATTGCCAGGCCCCCAGGCCTCACAGACTAGCTAAGTTTCTCTAGAATGATAGAGGCAGAGACAGTGAAGAATAAGTGAAGATACTGAGATGTGTGTGTCCTGCACGAGGACCACAGCTCCCTGTCACCTATTCTTGACAAAGTCCCACCCCACACTTGGGAACCAGGGTAAGGAATAAAACCACAGTGTAGATTTAACTACTGCCTGCCTTTGATATCTTTCTGCCTCTCACAACTGGATTGACTGAAAGGAAGGGATAAAAAGTAAGAAATAAGAGATGGATAGGAAGATGGCAGAATAGAGGAGGTCATGTTACTGGCTGCTCTGAGGTGTGAAACCAAGAAAGCAACCAGAAAGCTTCTCTGAAAGGTGGGTGAACAAAACTATTAGCATCAGATCAACATTGGCATCACATTCGCCATTGTAGGTCAGGAGCCATTTTATCTAGAGGCTTCAAAGTTTGGATTCTGAGGCAGT